CGCAACAATTGCGCGATAAACTCAATTTGGGAAAACCAGATGACTATAGGGTTCGTATGAAAGAGATATCTACCGCAATTTAATCCGTACTCACGCCTCGGTTATCCTTTTCTTCTTTAGTATCTCTCTGGCTGCACGCAGTACTTTGCCAATGCCAAGACGGAGCAACTCATTCCCGGCTCACAAAAGTCGAAGAATCACCAGCAGAAGGGCCCCCTCAAGGATCCCATTATCGATGACTATCAGCACTTTCACAATCTGGACAAGGCCTTGGGTCGATTGGGTCTTTCAGACGTTGAGAAGCTGGGCATCTACTCGCTGGTGGCGGCCGTTTTGCACTTGGGCAACATTGCCTTCGAGGAGATACCCGACGATGTGCGCGGTGGCTGCCAGGTGTCGGAAGCCACGGAGCACTCGCTGACCATCACCAGCGGCCTCTTGGGCGTGGATCAAACGGAGCTGCGTACGGCTTTAGTGTCTCGGGTGATGCAGAGCAAAGGAGGCGGCTTCAAGGGCACGGTTATCATGTAAGTGCAAGACGCATTCCACCTTGATATTTGCTGGTCGATCTAATCGATCCACTCGTTTCGTGCAGGGTTCCATTGAAGATCTACGAGGCGAGCAATGCTCGCGATGCGCTGGCCAAGGCCATTTACAGTCGCCTCTTCGATCGGATTGTGGGTCTCATCAATCAGAGCATACCCTTCCAGGCCTCCAACTTCTACATTGGAGTCCTCGACATTGCGGGCTTCGAGTACTTCACCGTCAACTCGTTCGAGCAATTCTGCATCAACTACTGCAACGAGAAGCTGCAAAAGTTCTTCAACGACAACATCCTCAAGAACGAGCAGGAGCTGTACAAGCGCGAGGGGCTTAATGTGCCCGAGATCACATTCACCGACAACCAGGACATCATCGAGCTGATCGAAGCCAAGTCCAATGGCATTTTCACGCTGCTCGACGAGGAGTCCAAGCTGCCGAAGCCTTCTCCCTCTCACTTCACTGCCGAGGTCCACAAGTCCTGGTCGAATCACTATCGCCTGGGTTTGCCGCGATCATCGCGCCTCAAGGCACACCGCACGCTGCGCGATGAGGAAGGTTTCCTGGTGCGCCACTTTGCCGGCGCCGTCTGCTACAACACTGAGCAGTTTATCGAGAAGAACAACGATGCACTGCACGCCTCGCTGGAGGGTCTCATGCAGGAGTGCGAGAATCCTCTGCTGAAGACCCTCTTCCCCTCGGGCAGCAGCACTTCCATTCGTGGCAAGCTAAACTTCATCTCCGTGGGCTCCAAATTCAAGACGCAGTTGGGGGAATTGATGGAGAAACTAGAGCAGAATGTGAGTAGATAAATCTTACACTTCTCTTCTCTTTGACTAATGAGTTTTTCCTTCCCTCAGGGTACCAACTTTATTCGCTGCATCAAGCCCAACAGCAAGATGATTGATCGCCAGTTCGAGGGCAGCTTGGCTCTCGCTCAGCTGAAATGCTCGGGCACCATCTCGGTGCTGGAGCTCATGGAGCATGGTTACCCATCGCGTGTCCTCTTCGCCGATCTGTACAACATGTACAAGTCTGTGCTGCCCCCGGAGCTGGTCTCGCTGCCTGCTCGCACCTTTTGCGAAGCCATGTTCCAGTCGCTCAATCTAAGTGCGAAGGACTTTAAGTTTGGCATCACCAAGGTCTTCTTCCGGCCCGGCAAGTTTGTGGAGTTTGATCGCATGATGCGCTCAGATCCCGAGAACATGCTGGCCATTGTGGCCAAGGTAAAGAAGTGGCTGATTCGCTCGCGTTGGGTCAAGTCCGCGCTGGGCGCTCTGTGCGTCATTAAGCGTAAGTTATCCTTAGATTTGTTTGAAATATCTTCTCTCTATTCGAACGAAATGTCCTCCCCCAGTGCGCAATCGCATCATCTACCGCAACAAGTGTGTGCTGATGGCCCAGCGCATTGCTCGCGGTTTTCTGGCCAGGAAGCAGCATCGACCACGCTACCAAGGCATTGCCAAGATCAATAAAATCCGAACGAACACACTCAAGACAATTGAAATCGCCAACGGACTGAAGATGGGACGCGACGAAATCGTTGGCGGTGTTAATGATATCTACAGGCAGATCGATGATGCCATTAAAACTATTAAGGTATGTCCTGAGATTTCTCCACTTTTTTTGTGGAACTGTTCCTCTAACCTGGTTATTTCTTGCAGTTGACTCCCCGCATTACCCAACGCGAAATCGACTCCATGTACACTGTGGTGATGGCCAATATGAACAAGCTGACTGTTGATCTGAATACCAAGCTGAAGGAGCAGCAGCAGGCCGATGAGCAGGAACGACTGCGCAAGATTCAAGAGGCCCTGGAGGCCGAACGGGCAGCAAAGGAGGCAGAGGAGCACCGACAGCGCGAAGAAGCCGAAAACAAGCGACTGTTTGTAGAACAAAATTAACATTTATCGAACCCCAACTGAGTGTTTGCTTCCACAGAAAAGTCGAGATGGAGACACGCCGCAAGCATGCAGAAGCGCAACGATTGCGCCAGGAAGAGGAGGATCGTCGCGCTGCTCTGGCACTGCAGGAACAGCTCCAAAAGGAGGCCAAGGACGATGCCAAATATCGCCAGCAACTAGAACAGGAAAGACGCGATCATGAATTGGCACTGCGCCTTGCCAGCGAGTCCAATGGCCAGGTGGAAGACAGTCCTCCAGTTATACGCAAGTATGTTGAATGGTTTCCAGAAAATAATATTTGGGGGAAGCATACATATACATAAGTTGACGAGGGTGTCAGGTGTGGTCAACTAAATCCTCAATCATTGGGGATTACATTTTACAGTAGATATATTTTTGGGGAGATAAGATAAAAGTTATGCGAATTATATTTGACTCGGAGGAGACAGCAATTGTATATGTACAGAAAGATATGAATGTTATGACTTGGTTTATAAGTATTTATAATTTATTGTTTTTAATTATTCCTGAAAAAACTCACCAACTTTTTCCCTTTTCCTCTCCCCCCAATCCACACGCAATCTACTCTCCACACCATTCACACAAACCACACAAAAATCACAAAACAAAACACAGTGGTATCAATGACGCCTCTCCCATGGGTTCCAACAAATTGATCAGGTATAGCACGCTTTATAATCTCTATAAATATACATATGTACAATACGAATTCTTGTAAATTTTGTCAATATCTTCTTGCTTTCACTAATTGGATAAACGAACTTTATACTTTACATTCTTATATGCTTTAACTTTCTGTATTATTCTTTTAAAACACAAAAACAAAAACCAAAAGTTTTTCACAAGTTGTGTCAAACATTGCTTCGCGGTACTTGAATAAGTGAGTTGGTGCTGGTTTTGAAAACATTCTCATATCTAAAATTAATACTACTAACAAACACCTAAAGTAAAGGTCTATCTCATGCCCACTAATCCAAATCATCCATAACAAAGTATCAACTAGTAATTGGCTTTAGTCTCTCTTATTCTTGCAATTGTTTTGCCTGTAAATTCCTCCCATTGTAATGCCATCACATGACTCACTTTTTTGCTTGCGCTTTAACCTGCAATTTATTTTGTAAAATTTGTATAGTAATCCATTATTTTCCTATGCAACTATAGATCGGATAATGTTCGGGCACAGCAGCAGGCCCTGGGCAAGCAGAAGTATGACTTGTCCAAATGGAAGTACTCGGAGCTGCGCGATGCTATCAACACTTCCTGTGATATTGAGCTGCTGGAGGTAGGGCAAAACTAATCTACATACATAATTCTCTGCTGTATACATTTCAAGTATCATTTTTGTAGGCCTGTCGTCAGGAGTTCCATCGCCGCTTGAAGGTGTATCATGCCTGGAAGGCAAAGAACCGCAAACGCACCACCATGGATGAGAATGAGCGTGCACCACGCAGCGTTATGGAAGCGGGTAAGTTAAATATTTGCCAGATCGCCCTCAATCGCTATAAGTCCACCCACCTTGACAGCCTTCAAGCAGCCACCGACTGTGCAGCCCATCCAGCAGATTGTGACGGCCCAACATCGCTACTTCCGCATACCCTTCATGCGAGCCAATGCACCGGACAACAGTGGGTGTTCATCAGTCTCCTTTTGGTGTATAAAATAATAATTGAATCTTGTTTTTTTGCAGCTAAGCGTGGCTTGTGGTATGCCCACTTTGATGGCCAGTGGATCGCCCGTCAGATGGAACTGCATGCGGATAAGCCGCCGATTCTGTTGGTTGCCGGCACGGACGATATGCAAATGTGTGAGCTGAGCCTGGAGGAGACGGGCCTCACGCGGAAACGTGGCGCCGAGATTCTGGAGCATGAATTCAATCGGGAGTGGGAGCGTAATGGCGGAAAGGCCTACAAGAATCTTGGTGTTAGGCCAAACGGACCACATTCAGCCGCCGCGGGCATGCAGAAACAACAATAAACCAATAGCCCCGCCCTCCACCAGTCGGAAACAAATGAAATGAAAGCCGTTTCAGTGGTCCAGAGGATGAAATTTTAAGTTTTACAAACAATTTCTGAAATTTTACCCTTTGGTAAAAAGTGACCACGTCCATAAAATTGAGTAAATACAATTAATTATCGTATGTGTTTACTTACAACATTTACTTCACTCGCTCATCCAGCGCCCAGACTGTTTTGTGGGGGCCTTATATAGCTATTTAAATATACAATAAATACATAAATATATCTTGAATTAAGTGAAATCTTACGATGTAAAAGGATATGGCAAAGTTGTATTTAGTGTCTAACTATATTGATTGCGTATTTAGTTCACTGCGATGTATTTACATAATTGAATATATATATTTTACAGTATTTTAAAAATAAATATTTGAAATAAATGCGCATTTATTTAACCCGTGTTTGCAAGCTTGAATTTTAGCGCGCACCTGCGCCTCGCTGTGAATGACAAACGTACAATTTTCAACGTAGTGGCAACTCTGTGCTTGGTTTTGCTGCCAGGTGGCAACTGGGCTGCACGTGTGTTTTGTTTACAAAAATGTCGCGCAAGAAATGGACTTCTCTGGACAAACCGCGCATCTCAGAAGCCGTGCTGGAGGTTATTCAAAGCTTTGGCTTTCGGGATATGACGCCAGTGCAGACGGCGACCATTCCCCTGCTGCTGGCTCTCAAAGATGTCTCCGCGGAGGCCGTCACGGGCAGCGGCAAGACGTTGGCGTTTCTGGTTCCATTGCTGGAGATTCTGCAGAGACGACACAGGGAGCGACCCTGGGGCCCTAAGGAGATCGGTGCACTGATCATCTCACCCACAAGAGAGTTGGCGCGACAGATATCCGAGGTGCTGGCACAGTTTCTGGCCCACGAGGAACTGGAGCACTTGAACCAGCAGTTGATTGTGGGCGGCAACAGCATTGAGGAGGATATTGCGACACTGAGGAAGGAGACACCCTGCATACTGGTGTGCACGCCGGGCCGCCTGGAGGATTTGTTTCAGCGCAAAGGAGATGACCTCAATCTGGCATTGCGCGTCAAAAGTCTGGAGTTTTTGGTGCTGGACGAGGCGGATCGCTTGCTGGACCTGGGCTTCAAGACGAGCGTCAACAATATACTGGGCTACCTGCCCCGACAGCGACGAACGGGCCTCTTTTCGGCCACCCAGACCACCGAGGTGACAGACCTCATCCGTGCTGGCCTACGCAATCCCGTGCTGGTCTCTGTGAAGGAAAAGGCCTCGGTGAACACGCCAGCCAGGCTGCAGAACTTCTACAGAATCGTCGAGCCTGAGCAAAAGTTCGTGGCGCTGCTGCAGTTCCTATCCTCGCCGGCCACACGCACTGGCAAGGTAATGGTCTTCTTTCCCACCTGCGCCTGCGTGGAGTACTGGGCGGAGGCCTTGCCCCCACTGCTGCCCAAGCGCACTGTCCTCGGCATCCACGGCAAGATGAAGAACAAGCGAGCCATCGTCGTGGAGAAGTTCCGCAACGAGCCGGAGTCCGTGCTGCTCTGCACCGATGTTCTGGCCCGCGGCTTGGATGTGCCCGAGATCGAGTGGGTGGTGCAGTGGGATCCGCCCTCGAATGCTTCCAGCTTTGTGCATCGCGTGGGACGTACTGCTCGCCAGGGCAACGATGGCAATGCCCTGGTCTTTCTGCTGCCCAGCGAGGATGCGTATATCCACTTTCTGAAGATCAACCAAAAGGTGGAACTCAATGAGCTGCCCAACGACGAGGCTGGCCCCACGGACACGCAACTTCCGAGCGTTCTGGAGCAGCTGCATCGACAGCAGAGGGCGGACAAGGGTGTCTACGACAAGGGGATGCGCGCATTTGTCTCCCATGTTCGGGCCTACACCAAGCACGAGTGCAGCGCCATTTTGCGACTGAAAGATCTGGATCTGGGCAAGATGGCCACCGCCTACGGACTGCTGCAACTGCCGCGCATGCCGGAGTTAAAGAACTACACCGGAGATGGCTTCATAGCGCCCAGCGCTGAGGTGGATCTTACCAAGCTCACCTACAAGAATGCCCAGAAGGAACAGGTGCGCCAGCAGAAACAACAGACGTACGAGCAGACGGGCAGCTGGCCGGGCCAGAAGCTGCACAAGAAGCGCACCGAGTCCTGGGATAATACAAAAAAAGCCAAACTGGATGCCAAGTCAAAGAAGGAGCTGCGCAAGGCGAAGAAGCAACGCAAGCGGGAGGCAGAGTTGGCCGAAGGAGCACCAGGACAGCGCAAAAGGAAGCAGCAATACAGCCAGGAAGATCTGGATGAGCTGGCCAGTGATATTCGGCTCTTCAAGAGGCTGAAAAAGAACAAAATCAGCGAAGAGGAATACGACGAGGCGATGGGCATTGAAAAGGATGATTAAGGGGCGGGCACAATTGTTAGGAAATATATATTAAAAATCTTTATTTGTGGCAACAGAAACTACAACTAAATGAGATGATAAATAATGCATGTGACGACGGGTGATCTGGACCTTCGCTTACGCCGTATTTCCATCCACCACAATCTGCAGGATTATGCGTCGCTTGGGATCATACGAGAAGCCATTTGTGCGGAACAAATCGGAGTCGTAGAACGGCTTCAAGTTGCTGATGTCCAGCTGCTTGGCACGCTCGATCAGATCACGTTCCATGATCTCCACATGCGTGGCGCCGGGTCCGTCCTTGCAGCGTATGTAGGCCAATTGGTCGAGGGTCAGCTGGCGCAGAATGAAGAACAGCAGCTCGGAGTGATCCTTCTGGAAGGACAGGTACTTCTGGAATGTGTTGCGCATCTTCTTCATCACACTGAACTTCTGCGCCTCAATGAAGCTCTCCAGCATCATGCGTATGGCCATGCTGACGTCCGCCTCCAAGACATTCTCGCGCAGATGCATGCGGCAATGGGCCTCCGACATCCGAATGACGCTCTCAATGTGACGCACCGTGATGGGCAGGGAGCCAGTGGCAAACGATTCCTGTCGCAGCTGCGCATACATCTTGGCAATCTTATCTTCATCTATGTTCTAGAGGGGGGAGAATCTGTTATAAAATCTGATGTTGATGAACAGATGTAAAGCTAAACAAACCGTAAGCTTGGGCCGAATATTCTCCTTGGCATAAACGATGTACTGTCGCAGTAGGTCTTGGGGTATCTCCTCCACCGACTTTTGTATGGGTTCCTCCATCTCTGGCTGCTCCTCCTCGCTGGGATGATGCTTCATATGCGAGTGCACCACAAACTTGGCCAGCTGCTGGTCCTGCATGGGATCGAACTCGTCCTTAACCACACACAGAATGTCGAAACGCGACAGAATGGGCTCAGAGAGATTCACATTCTCGGAGAAGGTCATCGAGGGATCGTAGCGGCCGCCAATGGGATTGGAGGCGGCTATGACCGTGCAGCGTGCCTGCAGCGACGTGACAATGCCCGCCTTGGAAATGGATATGGACTGCTGTTCCATGGCCTCGTGAATGGAGGTGCGATCCTGGTCGTTCATCTTGTCGAACTCATCAATCAGGCACACACCCTGATCGGCCAGCACCAAGGCGCCTGCCTCGAGGGTCCACTCCCGCGACACGGGATTGCGACGCACGTAGGCCGTGAGACCCACAGCGCTGGCGCCCTGGCCCGTGGTGAAGACAGCGCGCGGGGCCACCTTCTCCGTGTACTTGAGGAACTGCGACTTGGCTGTACCGGGATCGCCGCAGATCAGTAGATTGATGTCTCCGCGCACTTTGTGCTTCTCGCCGGGGTTCTTGGACTCGCCACCGAACAGTGCCAGGGCCAGGGCCCGCTTGATGTAGTCGTGGCCGTAGATCGAGGGCGCCATTGAGGCCACCAGCCGCTCGACAATGCGCGGATCCTTGCTCAGCTTTTGAATGGTGGCTATGTCCTCGTCCGTGAGGGATTGCACCATCTGCTTGGAGTCCTTGACGACCATATGATTGGCAATGATGACCGTGGCAAACACGGGAAAGCCCTGATCCGTATTGAGCGATCCATCGTAGTTGTTGGTGTAGATGCCAGTCACCTCCAGCTCGTCCCCGGGCTTGCACTGATCGCACAGATCGGATAGCAGGATGACGTCTTTGCTGCGCGGAATGCGACCGGCGGGAATGCGGCCGGGCGACTCCTGCAGTGTGATCTTCTGGTAGTTGCGGTACAGCGTCTGCTCCATGTTGATGGAGAACGGGCCGTAGCTCTGGCACTCTGGGCACGAGCCCGGCTTCACCTCTGTGTTTTGGGACTGCACAAAGGGGCCCAGGACATAACCGCACTTGACGCAGTCGTACTTGATCACCGACAGCTGGGGCAGGACACCCGTGGTGGCCGTCACCACGCCCAGGGTGCGCACCAGCTGGTTCAGATGCAGCTTCCGGAACGTGCGCAGCTCCTCGATCAGGGGCAGCTCTGAAATGCGCACATGGATCTCGGTGGTGACACGTTCGTAGGTGGGAAAGATGGACAGCACCATGTCCTTGGCCACCTTGTCGAATATCTCGAGCATTTGGAAGGGAGCCTCCGGCAGGAAGTAGGCCAGCACATGCTCCTTGTTGGCCAGATCCGTGTAGGAGACCACAAACGAGGATTTGTTCTGCTCGCACATGCGACGAATCCGATCTCGATATGTGTAGGCGCCCCGCTCGTCCACAAATGTACGCAGAAAGGACTGAAAGCGATTGGCAATCTCTGTGCGCGGCCCCAGCATGCTCACCCACTCCTTGGTGGAGTGGCCCTTGGTGTCCTCAAGATTCTCAATGGACTCGATCATCTCCGTGTCTTCCACCTCCCCGACGGCGGCCTTTTCTCCGGCACGGCGCTTGGCCCTCGGTCCCACATCGTCCTCATCGTCGGACTGGCCAAAGCCTAGCTCGCGATCATCGCGATGTATGCCAGCTGCACGGTCGCGGTTCCTCATCTCCGACTCGGCCGCAAAGCGGTCTCCTTGCGACATCTCCGAGAAGTCCTCCTCATCGTCCAGCATCGCCGGATCGTAGTGATCCAGCTCTGGCATGGGTCGATAGTCGTTCTCCATGTTGTCCCCAAACAACTCCTCGCCATCCTCTTCCTCCTCGTGGCGCACTGTCTGATCCCCGAGAATCTCATCTTCGTTCTCAAACGGCTCAAAGTCGCCCACTGGCGATGTCATTGCTGCGCGCAGATCACGACGCTCAGCGGCATCACTGGGCGTGTTTGGTGGCGGAGAGCTGGCATTATCCATTTCCAATATGTTATTCGGTCTTTAAAGCGGCTTTAAATGTTTTAAATATAATTGTTTAGTCGCTGCCGATCGCGAATTGTTTTGTTGTGTGACGCGTGCGAAAATGCGCGGGAAAGAGTGCTGCACAACATACAATAAACAGTGCTAATAATTGCGAAATATTAGTGCTGCAAATTGGCAATATTTTAAATTATTTCAAACTGGTTAATTAATGCTTTAACTATGTCCCCCAATGATGCGATATAGCCTAGTTATTTATATAGTTCTGCTTAATATTAATTCCTGCTTAATTACATTATTTTATTACTTTGGCGCTATGTATTAGATTCGGTATATTTCGGATTATTTTAGAGCGTCATGGGTTATATTAGATCGATAACTCGGCGGTCACACTGAACTCCCAACTCTTCCCGCCTCTTCTGGCTTCATCAGTTTCCATCCCTCGTCGTACAGATTTTGTTGTGAAATTATTTCAAATTATTATAAACAATTCCAAAATGGGCTATGCATCTTTGTCCTCCGGCGTTATTGCTGTAAGTACAACTGTTGGAAGTAGTGGGTTTCAAGTATTGAGCGTAATCATTTGGATTGTCTGGCACAGCGCATTATGAATGGCGACGATGTGACGAAGCCGGTGCTACAGATCTTGGCCATTAAGAAAATCAACAGCAATGCAGATGCGGAGCGGTATCGCATATTGATTTCCGATGGCAAGTACTTCAATAGCTACGCCATGTTGGCCAGCCAGCTGAACGAGATGCAGCACCGCGGACAGCTGGACGAGTTCACGATTGTGCAGCTGGACAAGTACGTGACGTCGATGGTGGGCAAGGAGGGAGCTGGCAAGTAAGTGGGGAAACTCCAGAACTTGACCGCTGCTGAACTAACTAACTGTACGTTTCAGGCGCGTCCTCATTATATCAGAATTAACAGTGCTCAATGCGGGCGCCGAGGTAAAGGAAAAAATTGGTGAGCCTGTCACATATGAAACTGCTGCCAAACAGGACTTGGTGGCCAAAGCGGCACCGCCTGTTGTTGCCAAAAAGGAGCCGACTCAGACCAAAACCAACAACAACAACAATAATAATATTACATTGAATGCCTCGATAAACGCGGGAATGACGCATCCCATCTCCAGCCTGAGTCCCTACCAGAACAAGTGGGTGATCAAAGCGCGTGTGACCTCCAAGACAGGCATACGCACCTGGAGCAATCCGAGGGGTGAGGGTAAGCTGTTCAGCATGGATCTGATGGATGAGTCGGGGGAGATTCGTGCCACGGCCTTCAAGGAGCAATGCGACAAGTTCTACGACATGATACAAGTGGACAGCGTTTACTTCTTCTCCAAGTGCCAACTGAAGCCGGCCAACAAGCAGTTCTCGCAGCTGGATAATGCCTACGAAATGACCTTTACGGGCGAAACAGCTGTCCAGCTATGCGAAGATGCGGACGATGGAGGCATTCCCGATATTAAATACAATTTGGTGCCCATTTCCGAGGTCTCTGGCATGGAGAACAAGGCGGCTGTCGACACAATTGGCATCTGCAAGGAGGTCGGTGAACTGCAGGCCTTCACCTCGCGCACCACCAACAAGGAGTTCAAGAAGCGCGACCTTACCCTGGTGGACATGAGCAACTCAGCCATCAGTCTGACCCTTTGGGGCGATGATGCCGTCAACTTTGATGGCCATGTTCAGCCAGTTATCCTGGTGAAGGGCACACGCATCAATGAGTTCAACGGTGGCAAGAGCCTGAGTCTGGGCGGTGGCTCCATCATGAAGATAAATCCGGACATTCCCGAGGCGCACAAGCTGCGCGGCTGGTTCGATAATGGCGGCGGTGACAACATTGCCAACATGGTGTCGGCTCGCACAGGCGGCGGCAGCTTCTCCACAGAATGGATGACATTCAAGGATGCGCGGGCACGCAACCTTGGGGCTGGCGACAAGCCCGACTACTTTCAGTGCAAGGCAGTGGTGCATATTGTTAAGCAGGAGAATGCCTTCTATCGCGCCTGCCCCCAGTCTGACTGCAACAAAAAAGTGGTCGATGAGGGCAACGATCAGTATCGCTGCGAGCGCTGCAATGCGCTCTATCCCAACTTTAAGTATCGTCTGCTTGTCAATGTGAGTATCCACTAGAAGATGGTAATCCTTTTTGGGTGATCATTAATTTATATGTGTCTCGACAGATGAGCGTGGGCGACTGGACCTCTAATCGTTGGGTCACCTGCTTCAATGAAACCGGCGAGCAGCTGCTCAAGCACACCTCCCAGGAGGTTGGCGAGGCTCTTGAGAATGATCCAGCCAAGGCTGAGGAAATTTTTTCAGCTCTTAACTTCACTTCGCACATCTTCAAGCTGCGCTGCAAGAACGAGGTGTACGGCGACATGACCCGCAACAAGCTCACCGTTCAGTCTGTGGTGCCCCTCAACTACAAGGAGTACAATCGCCATCTGCTCAAGGAGCTGCAGGAGTTGACTGGCATTGGCAGCAGCAGCAACTAAATATTTTCCACACACTTTTAAGATTATTGTTTAACATTATTTAAGATTTATACCATAATAATTTCGATTGGCATTTAAGCTGCACGATGCTGGAGCATCACATCCCCTCCCACATTTATTAACAAACAAGAAACGAGTCGAAATGGAACATTTATAAATTGAAACAAACAGAGTTTTTGTGTTGTAATTGTTGGGTAAATAATACAATAAATAAATAGTAATAACACTAGAGATTATCGACTTACGAGGCTAGCAAGGACTATGTCTAAGGAGGGTACTAAACAGGAGCTGCCTGCTCCTCCCGTGCGAAATGTTGGGACAGACTAAACAGAAAACCAGTGGAAGATTTGACTATGACGCTCGATCGTTAACTCTTAACCTAGATCTCAGATAGCATTAGGGTTGGAGAGACGACTCTTAATTCTAGTTGGACAGCTGCTGATCCCCCTCCTCGGGCACCACATGCTCGTGGTCAGCCTTCGGCCGCTCCTCCTGCTTCTCCCGCTCTAGCTCGGCCTTTTTGGCCAGCTCCTGGCGGCGGGATACACCCTCCATGGACTCCCGCAGTGAGTCTATATCCAGGGCATTCTCATCCTTGTCGCCCTCCTGCTCCTTGCTGCGCTGATTGTTGAATTTGGAGAAGTACGTGAGGGACTTCATCAGCTGGTAGCTCTTCGAGATGGGAATGTTCGAGTCGTAGATGCTGGTGCTGGAGCTGCAGTCGACATAGAACCACCAGTTGCACTTGAGTATGGTCTGATCGAAGAGCGTGTTCTCCGGACAGAGGAAGGACTTGCGCACCAAACCATCATCGGTGAGGGCGCACACATGAAAGACCTGCCAATAAAGTGATTCGTTTCAGTTTCGATTCTTCAGCTGATTTCATCATCCTCACCATGCAGCCCAGATCTGTGTCGGCATAGAGACCCGGAAAGTGCTTCTGCTTGGCGCAGGAGAAGCTCGTGGGCGGCAGATCCACCTTGGATTTGAAGTTGTCATCGAAGTTCTTGTCGTAGCCCACAGGATAATATTCCTTGGGTGCATTCATGACCTGCAAACACTCACAAATATCAATATCTACTGACATAAAGTCTCCATAAGCTCCCCCACCTTGGACACCTTGTGCTCTGCCATCGATTTTTGTGGCCGCGGAGTGCTCGGTGTCGTTGCCGTCGTTGTGGTCGTGGTCCTCAACGTGGAGGTGCGCATGAACTCCTCCCTCAGTTTGGCCGCCAGCTGTGCCCTGTGCTCCGCTTTGAGCTGCTGTTCCCGCACATAGATCGCATGCTTGATGGTCTCCACCGTGACATTGGCCGCCGAGGCCAGCTCCTCCACAGTCACATCCTTGAGGTCGAATTTGGGCTCCTCAAACTGCAGATAATTGGGATAACTAGGCTGCGGCGGCGGCGGTGCCTGGCGATGCTCCTTGGCCGCATTCGCTATGCGGGCAATGGACTCCGGCATGGCCTGGAAGACGGGCACTGCCACGGGCTGGGAGACCACTGGATTGTCCGCATGGAAGGTTCGATTCGAGTGCTGATTCAGAAAAGCAGAAGAGTGTTGATTGATTAGGGGAGCATCATTTAAAGGGGAAAGGATTCTACACTCACTGGCTTATCTACGGCATGGAAGAGTTTATTGTTGACACTGACTCGCGGCTCCGTTGTATCCACTGCCACACGCCGATCTGCTGTTGTCGGAGCCGGATTCAAGTCCTGCTGCTGCTTCTGGGGTATCGGACGGAAGGCGGGCACGCCCAGCGGCAGCGGACGGGCTTCGGTCATGAGCTGTGCCTGCTGTTGCTGCTGCTGCAGCTGCTGCTGCTGATGTTGCAGCAATTGCTGTTGCAGTTGCTTCATTTTCTGCTGCTGCTGCTGTTGCTGCTGCTGGGCCTTGGCCGCTGCAAGGGCGCTCTGCTGGAGCTGCTGCAGCTGCAGGTTGTAGGGCACGGGTCCGGTGGAGCGTGAACTGATGCGTTTATCTGGCAGCGATTGCTGTGCATTTGGAGTGGCCTAACGAGTGTACAAAAAATTCGTAAGCAGGAGACCTTCAGAATTCCATTCATTTTTCCATTGCTCACCTGTTGCTGTGCCCCCGACAGAACTCCCACACTCTCGGGCGGTGCTCCATTCTTGTAGCTGATGGCACGCCGACGCACGCTCTCCACATTTCCCAGCGACTCCGGGAAGCCCAGCTCATCGCCGACACTGAAACCTGCAAGAAAACACATCAAAGGGTTAGGGCGGTGTCCGTGACGGAGCCAATTCCCCCACCCATCAATCACAGCAGTTGGAGGTTTGGGAATTTGGGCAATAATGTGTTAATTAATGGCTTTTATTTTTCCTTTGATCCGACAGAAGGTTTTTGTATCTAAATCTTAAATCTACTCTGGTTTTATGTACATAGAGGCCAAGTGGACTGTTTGGATTTGATAATACAGAGGCGTGCATAGAGGGGAAGGGATCGAAATGGGGAAGTGTGACTCTTAAACTATAAAGATTAATTGAAGAATGCAGGATCAAGAATATCAAACATATAATGGTATATAAGGGTAATTTTTGGCACACTTTTTAACCGTTTTATGCGTTCATTTTTTTTAAATTCCTCAGCTTATCTGTGACTATTCGTAGTCCTAACCACAATAGCAGCAACCCTCCTCCATGGCACACCTCTGTCTCTGCCTCAGCCTCTGTTAACAACAGTTCACTCTTGTTATCGGTATCGGTCTTGCTCTTGGTCTTCGTCTCGGTCTCCACCATCAACTGCTCCACTTTGGCCATCAATTTGAGGCTGCAGCCGCTACTAGTGCCACTGACATTGGCATTAATGCATTAATGACTTACTTAATTGCTATTCGCGACTCGTTTGAACAAACCAAACACATCGATTACTTGACCAATTAATTGCACTTGTTAACCTCTAAGAGAACTCTACGTACGTACACCTTCTATGGACATTTGTATATACAGGGTGTGTAAGGGGTTTGGGTATAGGGAATAGGGTTTGACAGAATAGAGATTTACCTAAACCGAAATGGGCCTTTAGGCCACCCAAATTTCGTACACGAAACAGTCCAGACTTTTTGAAGTTACAATCGAGTATGAAACCAAAATCGGACGCTAAAACGCACGTCCCGCAAGCCAATCCTATAAATAAAAAATAGAAGAAAAAACAAAGCAAACACAGAATAGTAGGAGATAGTATCTCGTTCATATAATACATAAGAAGTAATTGTTAGTTTTGGGGTTTAGTACAATGAAAGATGGATTTTTGGGTTGTTGATATTTTTCATGATGGGCTGAGTTCGGATGGGTTGGACGGATACGTTTCTGTGTTGTTTCTTTTCTCTATTTAACGTACAAACCGCAACCAATAATTAAATTACAAAAATAATAAAAATAACTAAGCCATAGCCAATAACCAATAAAAGACAAATAAATTCCATTGGAAACAGATTCATGAATTTGCGGATGAGATATTTATTGGTTCCGCTGGAAAATTGTATTTGCAACGTTAACGTAATTACGGAAATGGCAATAAACTATTAAATAAAAGAAAAAGCTTTTAGTACAATTTCCTGGACAATAACAATAAGATTTCCAGTGGCAACTGCGTGAATCATGTAAAGGTTTGACTTCTCAGCTCCTGGCGGAGGATGTTGAACTTCAGATGTATTGTTAAACAATTTTGTGGAAAGCGAGAAAGAATATTTACTGCAAAAGAAGCCAAACGTAAAAGGATATTGCATATTTTTCCGACATCCGATCGTCAGCCACGAGGAGTGCTCCGTTTGCTTATGAGACATTTGTACCGTGAATCAAAATGCCTCAGTGGAACTATGGTGTTGGATGATTAAATATAAGGTGGAGTCACTATTCCGACTAGACCCCCATGTCCCGCATCTGTGTGTGTGCAAAGTGTTTGGCATGCATGAATTTTAAATTTGAACACAAATTTTTTAAATGAATATCTTTGACTTATCCCGCATCGAATCAAATGGCGTGGCTCTGATGTTTTGATTGATGGGTCGGGGGAACACAGCAAGCAGAGAAGAGACCGCCTAAGCCGTATATATTTCACACATATCTGATGATGGTGGAAGAAGCCAAGGCATGTGCGTACCCATCTGCCACACGAAGTAGGTGTGACCACAGAATGACCCTAATCCCCAATGATGACCCAATCCAAATCACAAGCGAACCGCAAGACAATAAACCCAGCCATGTCTCATCTCTTCAGCTACATTCGCATTCTGAAATGTAATCTTTTGGCATAATCGATTAACGATGGATGCCGTGACTGAAGCCCATTATTATGCCACAAGACTCCAAGCCATAACTACGCTTAAAGCCCAACGCTTAGATTGGTAATACTTCCTTATGCCAAGAGCAGTTACAAAAGCACTTATGTACTTGGGGCGGGGAGTTAACTAAAGCACTTTGGTGACCTGAACAGAGCAGAGCAGAGACAGAGAGTGGAAGAAGCAACCTCAATTCGAGCAGCGTCTCTGTCGTTGGGGTTCAAATTAAATTGTTAGCATGTCAAGTGGGACATGTAATACGTGTTTCAAATGTGTTTCAATTCTTTCAAAATGTGTAGCCCACTTTTATAGACTTTGATTGTCTGTCGTTTCATCCATATGCATAAAGATTTGAGGCGGCAATCAAAATGTTTGTATGCTAGTTATGCTTATGGGGATGGAGTTTGGACTGTTGAAAGTCTGAAACTGATTCTAAGACTAATGGATAATGGTAGCAGGCCATTAAGTGCGCTGGCCAATTGTGGCAATCGCTCGAGTCTATAGCTGTGGCTTTTGGGTTCAAGGAAAAACCGAGAGGCCGCCTAATGGAGTGTCAGACGCATGGACAACGAGAGATCAAAGTGTTAATACTCTCAGATATGTAAGTACATATGTATGTACATATATGTATGTACATTTCTGTCTGCCTGTGGTGTGGTATCACTTCCTCATCATAATCATCATTTGTTTGGGAGTTGCGATCTCTCTCGCTGTCTTTCTCTCTCTTCTCTCGGCAAACCGCAATTGAATATTCATGCCGAATGTAAGTATCATAATTGATACTTTTACTCAAATCATCAATCAATTTGCATTGCGCATACGCACCCGACGCACCTTGTGGGCGCTGCGAGTAGTTATTTTAATTATTTTTTGCCCACAAATGTACATAGAAATGGTAAAGGGAAACTTTTGCACTTGACACTAAGGGAAAAATGTAAAGTTTAAATATATGTATGTTTTTGCAGCCGGGATATACAGCCGCTTAGTTGGCCGCATTTTGCAGTTAGTCAGAGGAGGCAAAGCATCGACCAGCGACCGCTTTCACTCAATTTCATCTTCTGTCGTGCGTTTGGGAGGGGGGATCCGTCCGAACCGAATGTTGTATGTATGAAATTTATGACTGCCTGGTAACCATAGCCATTGGTTGTCCAAGTAGACAAATAGAAATTTAAACTAAACAAATAATGAGGCATAAATATGCAGTCCAGACATAGCCACAGCCGCAGTCGCAGTCGCAGCCATTGACCGCTGCTCTCCATCCAATATTTAGTTACTTTTCTCCAAGAGGCGGCCGGCCTCTCCCTGCTCCCTGGATGGCGTCTAGTTAGCACCTTACTCCCTTCCTGCCTCTCTCACTCTCTATCTGAGACGCGAAAAGTGGGTCACAAAACATTGATATTAATTGTTCGCTCAGAGGCGGAGGCTGAAACAGAAACTGAAACTGGCTCTGACTCTCATATCTCTGTCTCTGAGGCGGCATTCAGCGTTAATTCAATTTGATGAACAAATGCAAATATCGTGTATAAATTATCACAGATCTACGAATATCATCTGCTGATGCTGTTGGTGATGCTGCTGCTGCTGCCTAGGAGGCCGAATATTCCATTCCATTCCATTGTCGGCCAAACCTTAACCCAGAGCAAACCTTTCAAGTGGTTTTGGTTTCCCTTTTTTTATTATTATTAAAGAAGCGACTTTAACATTCCATTGTTCCATTGGCAAAACGTTTTACGGTCAATGTTTTTTTATATATTCATTTTTGCAGAGGCTGTGCCGAAGGAGAGGCCCGCACGGCCCTACAGGTGCCTTTCCCTTTTCTTGAAACTTTCCATTTCCATGGTTGTCGATCTTTGGACAATCATCTCAAAGAACTATAACATTTCGAAAGAACTTTAATGATGTGTTGTGGATTTGATGGGCCTCAATGTGAACCTGACCTTGCTTGGAATCTCTAGTCGTTAGGCGTAAAAGCTAATCCAAATGAAACCATTTTCATCGCACTGGCACAGCTTCGGGGGAGATTGTATTCGATTGTGCGACTGTGTAGACCCAACAAGTGTCTTAGCCTTAAGAGGGCGAAGGGGCGCACGTTAATTCCCCTTGTCAGTTAATTATGTTAATTGAACGATGGTCTTGACAGTGAGCGATAGACACACCGAACATCGGACAGCAGACACCCAACAAAAGACGGCTACAGCTGACAAAACTTTTGACAAAAGGCCACTTCAAGACATCGAATTAAATTGCAATTTGAGAGCCCCGCACACACACACACAAAGCACAGTCTAACGTGTGGGCTAAAACAGTAAGCCAACAAAAGGTGTGTAAATGGGATGCAGTGCAGGCAGGCCATCTCGAAGGGAGCCCCTGAAGGTCTTACGTGAGCGTACAACAGCGTGTGTTGCGTGCCCCAAAGTGTAGCCCAAGAGATACACATGTGAAGATGTAAGCACCCCAAGAGAAACAACAATAGTAACATTAATAATGCTTTAATTTATTCCTAATTGCAAACAAAACGCAGCTGGCATTTGGGCACAAAAGGGAAAGGAAAGGATAGCATCTCTCAGTCTTCTTCTGTGGGAATACCAGCCGGAAGCGGTTGCTTGGTTGGTTACTTGGTTGGTTCCTCCTGCCTGCATTTCTGCATGACTCTGCCTTTCACTTTCAGCCGTTGGCAGACTCCGCCTTCGAAGGGAGCCTTTTACTTATTGACCACTGCAATCATGTGACAATGCAACTTCTTTCCTTTTTTTATAGGCTTTTTGTTGCATGTACCTTTGGACCTGGACCTGGACCTGCAACCGGGCTCCACAGGTGTTCACAACGCCAAAAAAAAAAACCACAAACAAATAAAAACAGTTGGCTAATTGCTGTGGCAAGTGCAAAAGCAAAAGCATTTGCCAATAGTCGTATTTCATATTTGTTTGCCACACGTAGACAAGGGACATTTCACATCCCAGAAGTATTGCATAAAAGGCCCTCTGCCTCCGCCCAAGCCAACTCAAATATTTGGGTTATATAAAAATATAAATACAGAAACAGAAGACACTTTGAAGATGCTTTCAAACTGCTGCGTCATTGACCAACAAAAGCCCACCTAAAAATACAACAAAAAGTGAGACAGAAACCGAGACTACAAAAGAGAGAAACATCTCTTTCCGATCTCAGATCTCAATGGTTTTGGTGTGGTATGACATGGGGTGTATGGTAAATGGGGTATTGATGAATCATGCCTAGCGATTGACCGACTCGCTCGTTGGCTTTTATGAAGCCATCAAGGCAGATACGATTTGGGCAGGGCACGGACACGGACTTTGTTTATAAATATTTAGCTGGGAGAGTCATCACAGCTTCAGTTCCTGTCACTGTCTGCAAGGTTCAATTCTTTGGCAGGCAAAAGGTCAGCAAAGCATAAATTTTATGCAAATTAGGCAATGAAAATTGCCGAAATTAACACCAAAAAAGCAATGCCTTTACGCGGTCTAGTTGGTCCGAGATATCTGAACTTGACCGATATTCTGACATGCCAAAAACCACCAGTCCCATGTCGATCGTATCGTTCATCAAATCCCAAACGGAAGCGAAGGTTAAGCGAGCATTATTTATGTTTAACAGATTTTAGGCAAATTGATGAATGGGCCAAACAGCAACAATTTACATATTGGAGGCCCCCAAAAGGGGAGTGTACTCCGTACTTTGCGATTAGGTTGCGTTCTTAATGAGTTGCACAGATATAACTTCAGGTCAAGAATACTACATACTTTATGACTAACCAAAAACCAATCCGGTTTTATTTGGCGTCTCATTTGCAAGGTTTTGCATTGAGCTGCACAGAAGCGAAAAGACAAAAGAAAAAACCGAAGCCAAAAGCGATTACGAATGCGAACACATGTAAAAAGCGGCGCTAATAAACTGCAACAAAGTCGCGTTTATTGTATACACAAACAGAGGCAAAAGTGTAGACCATCTATCAAATATATCTTTGACTCTTTGGTGGCTATATCTTTTGTGGTTTTTGCATAGGGGGGAATGTCTTATCCCAACTAAAAATGCGGCCAACAACCTGTTCCACAGCATTCGTTGGAATCAACTATGATCTATGATTACAGCATACAGCCATGTGCCACACATGCCACAAGCGGTTAACTTAAGACTTAAGACAAAAACTTGATTGAAGCCAGAAAAAAGAAATGAGTCTGTCACTGAAGTCATTTGTTCCACTCGAATCAAATTTAAGCCCGAAGAGACACCTGAGAAATGCAATTAAACTTCCACCGAAATGAAAAAGCAAAACCAAAACCACAACGGAAAAACAGCAATTAATAACAAAAAGCAAGTTAACAGAGGGGGAAAATGGGAAAAACACTGCACTTTACTCACTTGCCGCCTGCATGATCAGAAAGCCAATCACAAAGAAATTCATCTTTGCAGCTCGTTCAATGCCGGAATTTTGCTGGCGATTTTCGTTGGGGAGAGATGATTTGTTTATATTTTATGTATGTACCTCGGATGTGTAGAGGCGTGTAATTTTTATTTTTATTTTCTTTATGCTTTCCTCAAACACACACTCATGCTCGTGCACACTGTGATCTGTTGGTTAGTGGAAAACGTAATAAACGTTTATGTATTACTATAATTACTGTTGAGAGGTTGGCTTATTGTTGTTGTTGCTGCTGTTGGGTTGGCGACCCGTGCCGCAGATCGGAAATGCATAGTTCATTTAATTAAATATAATGAACTTATTGTTATTATCAATTATTTTTACGGACACGCGAGCGCGCGCATAAACGAAAGCAAACGCCCGAAGAAAAAGCACAAATACACGTATAAACCGGTAAAGAAAAAGACGCACGCAAATGAGCGGGTTGGGTAGGTAAACACTCTCTCTTTCCGTTTGCCGAATAAGTAAAAGTGAAGAGGAACTAGGCGGTGCCGGGAGGCGGAACGAGACGACACGAGGCGGCCTGAGATGATGAGATGCGCCGATAAGAGCCGCGCGCTCCTATGCGTAGGCAGGAGAGCCAAGGTGTATGGGCAATAAGGTGAGGCAATGATCTGGCTACTTTATGGCAGTTGCACTTAGGACGAAAGTATGCATCACCCTATAAGAACTACACGTCGCGCCAGCACAGTGGCGCATATCAGAAATAATTCTACAGTTCCATTAATGGATTAATGGATGACTGGGAGTGTGTCAGGCGACACAGAATGGGATATCCAACATGAATGAAACTTATACCATTTAGCACATGCTCGGATATTATCGTGGCGGCCAGTGGTCTGGTATTCGGGCTGACTCCTTCATTACTTCGCTCTCTTGAGCATAACAACAACTTTCCAATTGCTATCACTTGACGACGCTCGCTTGCTTCGACCGACTCCGCATCGGATTGGATCGGTTTGGCTTGGTTTGTTGGTCACCGCTCCATAATTTTCTCGACTGTCTCTTGTTTGCTGGCTGCTGCTGCTGTCTTAAAGTATTGTCACTGTCGCACATGCCAACTGACAGCCACGCCCCCAAAAAAAAAAACACTAACAATCCCCAACAGCAGCGAAAACGTTGGCACGTCCAACACGGCTGCGGCGGCAACGAATGGCGGCGGGCGGCTGTTCTGCGTTTTGAAACCCGTAACGTAGAAAAACATAAAGAAACAACAAAAACGCATTAGTAAAAGTTGTTTTCGATATGCTTTAATTTCGTTAACTCGGCGGCCTGTGTTAATTTTTCGACCCGAAATTAGCGCAATTTGAAATTCCCGCAAACACTTAGCACTGATTGAATTAAATTTAATCAATGCCAATCAAATTATTCACGTTTGATTGATTCACTTTTAATAATTATGGAACTGCCAGGAATTCTTTGCTGACTGCAAGAGTTAAAGCACTCTCATTGCCTTGGCTTGACAAGTTGTTTTAAATAAACTGTAGATTGTATTGGTTGCCAAAGCGAAACGATACGATACGATACGAACTTGCAACGTACAATACGTACAACAGACGATCCACGATCAACGAACCACGATCTGCGCGAGCTGCAAAACTTGTTACTTCAGCCGTACTTTTCGAATAAGCCAAGTTAACACCAAATAAGCCAAACAACAACACACTGCTCAATTTGGCGTTGCAGTGATGAGCAAGCCAAGAAACTGATTGCGCTTTGCAGCACTGGCCGATCGTTATAACTGTAAAATGAAATGTAAACATCAGGGCATGGCAAATCGTAAGTTTTTCATGGCTCATTTAGGAGTTTGTGGAGGCATTTTGTATTGCCTGATGAGTGGATTCGGACTCAAGATTGTGGTCTTTCTGTTGGCCCAAGCGGTGTCCCTTGGCATGGTGTGGAATCAGCTGGAACTGGACCAAACAGAGGAGTTGCTTATTGAAAATTTGAAGCACTATGTATTGCAGCAAAGGCAGAGGCATCAATTGATTAGAAGGTTTGTGGAGCTAATATATCTTCCAACTTTATATAGATGCCTTACAATTCTTACAGATCACTTGATCAATTACGTGCGGAAAGCGTCAGCGTTCATCAAGACTTTGAGGTGCACTTGTCGGTTCCACACCGGGCATTGGCACTAATACGACGTCTTCATGAAGACTGGCCCAATTGGATGGTGTATCTCAATGCCACAGAAGGAGGAGCAGGTGAGTCAGACTGAAATATTAAGAATTGCTATGTAGAGCAACCTTTTTATTTTAGGACAAATCAGAGTGGCCAAAGAACTGCGTGAAAGATTACCCAAAAGAGAAGATCTCATAAAAGCAGCTAGTGATGTTTATAGCCTGCAAATAATTCACAATCTTATGCCACAAGATCCATATTTGTAAGTAATGTTACAATAGATTGTACAAAAGATGCTGTCTCCATTCGTTCCCCACAGCCGCCCATTAAATTCAAGGGACTGTCTGGCCCTGGGAAATTATCTGGCACATCTGAAAAATCACCAATATGCAGAGAACTGGCTTAAGCTATCCCTAAAGCTGTACACAGCTTCAGGTGAATCGAATAAGTGCAGATCTATTTACAAGGACTCGCAGCTCGGGTATCTGCTGTATCATTTAGGAGCCGCCAAGTACGCTCAAAACCCTTCGGATGGCAATGCCGTCAAGTTGATGGCCAAGGCATATGAGCTGACACCTCACGATGAACACATTTTAGCACACGCAGAGTCTGTGCTGGAACAACGGTCCTATTTCGATGGTTGCCGTGGTGCATTCCAGGTTAAGTCCCACCTGTCTAGTCTGCACTGTCGGTACCAAAACGAGCGGTCTACCTTCTCTAGGCTGGCACCACTAAAACTGGAAGTATTAAGCCATGATCCCTATGTGGTGATATATCATGATGTTCTATACGAGTCTGAAATGCAGGATCTGATCAATTCGACACGCCGCAGAATGAGCCGATCCATGGTGCAGTACGAAGTTCGTCAGATTGAAATATCAGAGCAGCGCACCTCAAATGAAGCTCCCTTTACGGAGAAGAATGATCCACAGCTGTTGAAGCGTATCAGCGATCGTATCAAAGATATGACTGGCTCTGATAGGATGAGGTCTGAGCTCCTTAATGTGGTACTATACGATTTGGGCGGGCATCATGATGTCCATGTGGATTATCATGATTTATATTGGGTATGAAATTAATCTGTTTTCATCTTTTGTTCGTCCTCATTCATGTTCTTTTTGTAGAATCCGCAAGAGTACGAGGATCAGACTTTTGGAGATCGAGAAGCATCTGTTATCTTCTATGTGAGTAGATTCAAATTATATTCTGTATATCCTTTCAAAAACCTATCTCATATTTAGTTAAACGATGTGGCAGATGGCGGCTCAACAGTTTTCCCTAAACTACATTTGTCAATGCAGCCAAAGAAAGGATCTGCCTTGATGTGGCATAATTTAAGAGCATGGGGCGAAGGCGATCGTCGTACGCAGCATGCCGCTTGTCCAGTTCTGCAGGGATACAAATGGGGTAAGACTCTTTGTACTTCGTTCTTAGTTTTTAACATTTTTTCCCCGTTTAGTGGCCGTTCAGTGGATACTGCAAGGAGCTCACAACGCAATATCCCCCAAAGATGCTCTAAATAAACGAACTACATTCTCATCTGGGTCACGCTCCGCTGCAGTAGACCGTGAAAAACTGTTTTGAGACAGTATAAATGTTCCATATAATGAATTAAAAAACATTTCTTCCTCGAACTAAAGAATATCCATTACTCTAGGCTGGATTACGTTCGTGTAATGTGTACTTTACAATCCATAACCCTGTTCGCATTTTGTTTGATCTGTGGAAATGCAATGGCAAATAGGGTTCACGAAAAGTCATACGCCTGCTCTTCAGTGGCACTGAAAAAGCTGCTGAGGGTAGAGGATGAACTAGTGCGGAACATAAGGAGCTACGTTACCAAGCTGAAGACTAAGCACCAGCTAGTTAACCAGTCAGTGAAGAAAATGTTGTGGTGTAAATCCGAATTGAAACTGCAACTCTTTACAGAGCTTTGAGCAGCATGAGAGCGGAGGAGAGCCACATGAAAACGGACTACGAGGCTTACCTGGCCAATCCCCTAAACAGCTTTCGGCTTATACATCGTCTACATCGAGATTGGGAGCAATTAGTGATCTACACATCAGAGGCGCAACAAAATGAAAGAGGTATGAAAAGAACAGCAGCATCTACAAATGAAAAAAATACTCTTTTTAGGACACATTGAGTATGCACATCGTCTGCGAATGCTTCTACCCAGTGCCTTGGACTTGGAAGAGGCCAGTCGTGGCATCGATAGCGTAGTGGATATCTACGAACTGCAGCCGAAATACTTAGCCGCAGGCACTCTAGTCCCTGGAGACACGCATCCCGTCGCAGCCTTGTCCCCCCTGGACTGCCTGTTATTGGGAAATTATTGTAAAAACGAACGGAATGATAGACGTGCCGAGGCTTGGTTCAATGCCTCATTAGAAAGGTACGACGAGGATAGGCTAGAGTATGTCGTCTTTGGCCTAAGCCGGAAAAGCATTCACAACTCTTTAGGCATGCTGCTCATGAAAACTCAGCAGGAAACTGCCGGCATGGCACACCTGAACACTGAAGGCGAAGATAATAGTTTCTCCAAGGATATTAAAAAACACTATGACAGCCAAATGATGTATAAGCGGGGCTGCAGTTCTGTCTTCAGAGCTCCAGCCCATCTGCACTGTCGCTACAACAGCTCCACGACAGCCTTTGCGCGAATTGCCCCAATGAAGATGGAGGAGCTGAGCCACGATCCGTACATGGTGCTCTTTCACAATGTTGTCTACGAGAGTGAAATGGATTGGCTGCTGAATGCCAAACAGCTGAAGGCATCTCTGGTGGGTCATTATCAGTACTCCGATTTTCGAACCTCAAAGGAACAGCATTTCCATGAGAATTACAATGAAGCAGTGGTCAAGAGTATCCACAGGCGGCTGACGGACATGACCGGGTTGAGTTTGATTGAAAGCGATGCTTTAACGCTCATCAACTATGGCATGGGCGGGCACTATGACCTGCACTACGATAGCCACAACTACAGTGAACCGAACCGAATTCTCATTGGCGACCGCATAGCCACTGTTCTCCTTTATGTGAGTCCTTGTTGAGTGCTGACCTCTGGACTAACAAAATATCTCTTTTATAGGTGGGTGAAGTGGACTCTGGTGGTGCCACAATATTTCCCTACATCAATGTGTCTGTCACGCCCACGAAGGGATCTGCTGTCTTATGGTACAACTTGGACAACGCAGGCGAAATTAATGCCAAAGCAATTCATGCGGGATGCCCAGTGATAGTTGGCTCCAAATACGGTAGGACATAACAATGAAAGACTGCAACTTATTTGACTGTCTCTCCTCTTTCAGTGCTTACCAAATGGATAAACGAAATGCGGCAGTTGTTCCTCACTCCCTGCATACGGAACAAAATATCCAAGCTAAAATCTAGATAGAAATAAAGCGGATTCATTTAATATCACGCAGAATGTTTGCTTAAAGCATTTTGTATCGGTTGTTAACGTTACTTGGACTATGAACTAGCGCTGACCGTGGCCCGTGTGCAGCGGTACTTCTGCACGGCATAGTGCGCCCCTTCCTCGGAAGTCAGTTGATCCATAAATTTCTCCAGCACAAAGCGATGGTTCTCCGTATTAAGGTCGTCCTTAAGGAAGGCAAAGTGCAAAACAGCATTCGGTACACAATTGAGCTCCAGCAGCGTCTCGTCTGTCGGCAGCACTTTCTTCGGTGGTATAGTAAAGAGATTAAACTCCTCGCTGGGATGGACCAGGAACTCTCGCACAAAGTCCTCCACCTTGGCCAGCGTTTCGTGGGGCTTGAACATGCCCTGGAGCACGAAGCGATCAGGGAACTGAATGCGCAGCACACAGTCCTTGTATTGATTCAATTTAGCCAACATTGTCTTCTGGCGCTCCAGCTCGCGTAGCTTGGCTGTCAGGAGAGGAGCGTCGTCGTCGCCGGCGGAGGTGCGCTTCAGGTCGCGCAGCACCATCTTGAGGTCGTTCACTGTCAAGTCAAAAAACGAGTCGGGCAGCTCATCGGATTGCTTCTGGGTGGCATCCAGGGAGAAGAGCACTGCCTGGCGAGGTCCAATCACGTTTACCACTGGCGGAGCGCTTCCTGGACTATCATCAGCATCATTATCCATCTGCATTGGTGTTGCGGCAGCGTTATGTAGCGAGTAACCGGAGCCGCTTCCCCAATCATATTTTGGAGCCTCTGGCTGTTCGTCCTTTTCGCTGGGCATTTCCTCATCATTCTCTGCATCTGCATTTACCTCTGGAGCCGTCCGCTTTAGAGACTTGATCAAGTTGCTGGTCAGGGCAAATCCGCCACCACCTGCCCCACTAGCTGCCGAGCGCGAGGTGCTGGGCTGCTCGTCGTCGCCCTTCGGCTTGGCCTGTACCTCCGGAGGTTTGTACACATTGGCCTGGGTCTTCAGGTCCTCTGGCTTCTTGTCAATCAACCGCATCATGGCGCGTCCGTCCAGTATGCCCAAGGACTTTAGCGTCGTCTGCTCCATATTTTGCTGTCCAATCACCTCGCTACGCATATAGATGATGATGGGACTCGCGAAAGTCGACACTTGGCTTCCACACAGCTTCTGGACCACCTGCCAGAGAGTGTCGTTGGGGGCGAACTCGCCCTGCTCACGGGATCCGTCGCTGAGTTGAATGCAGACCACAACGTTGCTGACGATGCGACGCTTCTTCGTTGGCTCCATTTCCAGCACGCAATTGTTGGGCAAGCCGCTGAAACGGAACTGCTGCGTGAGGCACACGTCCTTGTTGTGGAACTTCAGGCAGTGTTCCTCGCTGTCGTAGCCGTGTTTCGTGCAGGCCGTCTCTAGGATCTCTAGCAGCGTCATGTTCGCCGTGACGATCACATTCTGGCGCCTGCCGTTGGGCAGCAGGATTGTGACGCGCTTCTCCATAAGCCTACAACAATTCGTATTTGTGTTAATGTTATAAATTTTATGTGAAACTATTGTTTTACTTGACGTTTTTTAAACTAAATCCTTAAAAATGCAATATAATGCCGGCCGGGGCGGGGATGTGACACTGGTTTCCGATGAGATTGTTATCGATTGTTGTTTGGGTTGCCCTGGAATGCGTGACGTGACTATTTTGTAGTAGAGATGCGCACGTGAGGTCAGCCAAAACACGAAAGACGCAGCTGGCACGAGAGGCACAGCAATAAATTTGTGTTACTTTTGGTTATACCAGTTACCTTATCTCTTCAAGATATATATGTTTCTAACACACTGCATGTTTTTCCACTTTTTTTTTTGTGTCTGGTCTCATTTGAAGATTAGTGGAACACGGCCACCGACCACTATGTTGAGGAAAATTAAACTCGTGACACGTACACATCTCTAAAGTGATAACAAGATCGCGGTCGTGGAGTCGCATTTAATTTAAAGAATTTAAACAGATCTATTGCATTTAAGTACAGAAACAATGTATTCGAGACTTTTGCGCAGCGTTGGCGCAAATGCAAGGTATACTCTAAGACTCTCCGTGCCTACAGACTCTGTAGAGTCAACAGATGGAATGCCCAGCACCCGTTCTGATTACATAAACATTGATCTGATTGATATTTGTTGTTGTTCTTGAAGGTGCTTTGCCACAGAGGCCGCCTTCGTCGCCCCAAAAGTACGACCAATCAACAAGATTCTGATATCCAATCGGGGCGAGATAGCCTGCCGTGTGATCCGCACTGCTCGAAAGCTGGGAGTTCGCACCGTGGCTGTGTTTTCCGATCCAGATGAGAAGAGTTTGCACACCCAACTGGCGGATGAGGCGTATCGCGTGGGTGAGGCAGCGTCGTCCGCATCGTACCTGCGCGGTGAGCACATCCTAGAGATTGCGAAGCGATCCGGCGCTCAGGCGATTCATCCTGGCTACGGTTTCCTCTCGGAATCGGTGGAGTTCGCAGAGCAATGCCAGCGCGAGGGAGTCATCTTCATGGGTCCCCCAAGCTCAGCCATTCGTGACATGGGCATCAAGAGCACCAGCAAAGCGATAATGGCCGCCGCCGGAGTGCCCATCATCAATGGCTACCACGGCGAGGATCAATCCGATGAGTGTCTGCAGGCAGAGGCCAAAATTATTGGCTTCCCGCTAATGATCAAGGCGGTGCGCGGCGGTGGCGGCAAGGGCATGAGAATTGCCGAGAAGCCAGAGGACTTTCTGACGGCCCTTAACTCGGCGCGCAACGAGTCACAAAAGTCATTTGGCGACAGTTCTGTGCTTCTTGAGCGCTACGTCCGCTCTCCCCGCCATGTGGAGGTTCAGGTGTTTGCCGATCAGTACGGCGATGCTGTGTACCTCTGGGAGCGGGACTGCTCTGTGCAGCGACGCCATCAGAAGATCATCGAAGAGGCGCCAGCGGTAAGTCAGCCGAGAAGTATTCACTATGATCAAAAATTGATTCCGTTAATGTCTTTCAGCCCGGCCTATCAGAGGAACTGCGACGCGAGCTGGGCGAGGCTGCTGTGCGTGCTGCCAAAGCTGTAGGATACGTAGGTGCCGGAACTGTTGAATTTATTCTGGACAAGGAAGACCTTTCCTTCCACTTTATGGAGATGAACACCCGTCTGCAGGTGGAACATCCCATTTCCGAGATGATCACAGGAACAGACCTCGTCGAGTGGCAGATTCGCATTGCCGCCGGCGAGCCCTTGCCACTGAAGCAGTCGCAGATCACACGCACCGGACACGCTTTCGAGGCCCGCATCTATGCTGAGAATCCACGCGGTGGTTTTCTGCCAGGTGCCGGACCACTACGCTACCTGTCCACGCCACAGCCCAGTGCCGAGGTGCGTGTCGAAACAGGTGTCCGAGAAGGCGATGAGGTGTCCGTGCACTATGATCCCATGATTGCCAAGCTGGTCGTCTGGGGCGAAAACCGCTCGCAGGCTCTGAATTCGCTGATTGCCCGACTGGGAGAGTACCATGTATGTGGAACTAATATAGGAGAATACTCTACCCATTGATTGATTGTTAAATTGCATTTACACATCCTCAAGATCTCTGGTCTGGATACGAACATCAACTTCCTGATCGATCTGGCCTCACATCCCGAGTTCCAGCTGGCCAACGTCCACACGGGCTTCATCGATGAGCATTTTGACACGCTCTTCCCAGCAATTTCCATCAGCCAGCAGCACGTGAGCCAAGCAGCGGTTGCTTTGGTGTTCAATGAGCTGCAGGCATCCACCAGCAATAGCAGCGGCAGCCAGGATCCATTTGCGGCCACACCGAATGCCCGTCTCAACTATGCCTTGATCCGAAACTATAATCTAAAAGCCAATGACAAAGGTAGGGAAAATGTGTGGGAGAATTCTCCAGCAAGATAATATTCTGAATTCCTCATCTACAGTCTTCTGGGTTGATGTCAAGTATAATGGAGAGGAGCTGCAGATACGCGTGGACAATGGCACCTGGCAGGAGATCAAGGCTGAGAGAGTGCAGGATGTGGGGCGTCTAAAGATCCGTGCCAATATCGACAGCAACATCTCCACTTATAATGCGAACATTGATGGTCCCAGTTTGAGCCTGTTTCTGGAGGTAGGCTGCACAAAACACAACCACAGAAAGTCTCATTAAATTTTTATTTGTATTTATAGAGTGGAAAGCTCGACTTTGAGCTGGTGCAGCCAAAGTTTTTAAGTGCTCAGGTTGATCAGTTAGGCGCCGGTGGCTCTAGAGTGGTGGCGCCTATGCCCGGAGTTCTGGAGAAGGTGCTGGTTAAACCAGGCGATCAGGTCAAGAAAGGCGACAGCCTGGCTGTGCTTATAGGTGCGTGTCCAATCTGTCATAAATTCTTTACATGTTGTCTAATTAATGCTTTGTTTCTGTTAGCCATGAAAATGGAGCACATCTTGAAGGCTCCAAAGGATGCAACCATCAAATCAATTGGCGGCGCCGAAGGCGACAATGTGGCCAAAGGAGCGGCTGTGATTACCTTCGTGGATGAAGAAGTTGCCGCCAAGTAGTCGTATTCCTCCACTAACGTACCAGAGATTCCGTTGCATTTATCTACATATTGTTTATATCTTCTGTGTTCTATTGTGTGCATTTATTAGTGTTAAGCCATAGTTCATTTAATGGACTCTTGTTGAATTTTCTGTCCAATGGCATTTTAAATATTTTAATTAAATAATGAACTACCAATCGTAAATAATTGATTAGATCAGCAGGGCTTACCTCCATGGTCATGCAAACGACATGTAAGTTGTTTTGTACTTTTCACTGGGATACTTCATCTCCGAGCATTAATGTGGAAGTGATGGCCCCAATTCTGTTTTAGGTAATGAACCAAGATTTTGGGATTATTTTAAAAAATTGTTTTATTTGTTTTGTCAATTTTGTTGTTTGCTGAAGTTGAATGGTTTTGGATGTATAAGGTTTTATTTTTATTCAGTTTTCTCGAACACACACACATTTCTTAAATGTGCTTTTAGCATACTTTTTGTTTG